AGTGCGGGTCTCTGTGCGCAGGCTGGGAAGATGGGGCGCGCGGAGAGTTGGGGTGCGCGGAGATAAAACCCTGGTCCACCAGCCTTTAGGTGCCCGGAGAGGGAGTTTGGGGATGATCAAATATGTCCCGCGAAGGTGGAGGTCTCTGTGCCCCAGGAAAACCAAGGTGCCAGGGGTGTTAGCTCTGGGAGCTCAGAGCTGTGCGGTGGGTCCTGGATGCTGTCCTTGGAGAGGGAAGGAAGGTGGCCCCTGGCGTTATTGTTTTCTCCTGCCTCGCCGACCTGCTAGCTTCCTCTGAAAAGACTTGGTTGGAAAGGAGCGGAGGCCAGACTCAGAGGAGGAGCCCTTTTTCCTTCGCGGAGCGTTGCCTCCTTCCCAGGGCTGGCTATTTTTATCCCAGATGTGGCTGCAGAGGGGGCTGGGGTTGGGTGACGGGGCAAGGCTACGTGGCTGATGGGCCTAACCGGTTTGGAAAACCCAGGATATCCTGAGAGAGGGACCCTGTTGCCAGTGGTTTCTATAACGGTGCCCCCTTTGAGGATTGGGGCCAAACTTGTTTTCAGTCTCCCTAGGGTCTTAGAGGTAAAAGAACTTTCCTGATTCCGCGTCCAGACTTGACTCTTGATGGCCATCTAGTTCACTGTTACCTCTTCATAGGAGGAAGACTCAGATCTTCTGGCTAACGATGCTTGGTAGACTCCCACTGGGGTGGGGCTAGGTAGGAGCCAGTAATGCCCACCCTGCATCCTCTCCTTTAACCTCTCTCTGGCTTCGCACCCCACCCTCCCATGACTCATGCTCTAGATTGGGTGGAGACCCTGGCTGGGGCCCCGAAAGAGGGCTTGGCATCACCAAAATGTGCATGAGGTTTTCTTCCTGAGCCAAGGGGGCAGCGTTGCTTGCCACAGTTGTGGAGAGTCAGGAGTGAAAAGGACTTAAGCCTCACAGGATTGATTGTCTGCTCTGAGGTCAAGGAGGGAGTGTATGTTAGAGGAGGGGGAATTGTTGTGGGTTACTGGGCTGGGACCAGAGTCAGTAATTATAGAGATTGGGCAGACAGGCAATTAGTAGCTCTTGATGCTGGAAGCAGGGGAACCAAGGAGAGAGAATTTCCATCTAAAGGAAGAGGAGGTTCCTTTGGCCAGGACTTGCACCTTTGTAGGAGAAAGTACATGGAAGGGTGGAAGGAAGCAGAGGCTGTCTGAGCCAGTATCCAGTGTCTTGCAGAGTTGGGAAGACCTCTCTGATGGCCCCAGAGGTGGCTGGCCCCGATTGCGAGCAAGTGGTTTGGGAGGACAGTCTGCAGGAAGTGGTGGCCATGCCTCTGATGAGAACCTCTCTGGGGAGGAGGTGATAATGGAAGTCCCAGTAATGAAAGTGGGGGTGGGAAAATTATGAGCTTTCTAAAAGGGTGGAACGTGCCCACCCTGTTTCCTGATGCTCTACCAGGTGTTTCCTGGCTCGTGGTATTATCTCCACCCAACCTACTAGGGGAAATTCTGCTTTCTAGTACAGGCAACATTCATTGACACCAGGAGGGACATCCATTGTTCCTGAGGGGCATACCTCGAGAGCTGCATCTCACTTGTCAATATCTGGTCTCTTCTAGGCCCTTCTCTATAGGTTTTGGCTTCTGTAAATTCTCAGTCCCCTCATACTATTCAGGACAGAGGGAAGCCCCCGCCTTTCCCTCAGGTTTCCATATCAGAGCAGGAAGGTTAATGGAGTTGGAGGCAGTGGGGGTGGCAGGGGCATAGCTAGGATAATCTTCACAAGGGGTCTCATGTGGGGATTGAAGAATTCTTGAACACGTGTGTCCGTTGCTTTCTTGCAGGGACTCCCATGGGATTGCTGGAACCTTGGTGGGTGAGATGGCACTGTGTGCAAAAAAACGCCCCCCAGGTAAGAGCGCCAAGGAGTGGGTCTCTGGGACCATGATGACTTAGGGAGCCAAGGGGAAGAGGGACGACTAGGATGGTTCTGGGAAAAGGGGGGAGAGCTAATGCTGCTAGGAGTCCTGGGTGGGTAGCCTAAGAAACCTAATTCCTCATTTCATTCTTGGGCTGGTGCTCAGCCATGACTGCTAATCACTAGCCCCGTACTCAAAAGCACCTGCAGCTCCTGGGCTGTGGCCTCCTTTGCCTACCCACCGGAGCCCTCCTCGGTTTCCCGCGGAAGGGGGGGGGGTGTGTGGGATGAAAGCCGTTGCCCTGGACAACGCGGGCGGTCGGCTCCTCCGCATTGGCTGGGGGAGTGGGCGGGGCCGAGCGCTGGCTTTCGCCTACGCGGCACTGGCAGACTTCGGCTCTGCAGTGGGAGCAGGTGGGGCGGAGCCTGGGGGCGTGGGCACCGCGTTCCGGCCACTCAAAGCTCCACCTCCCGCCTCTGTCGTGGGATTCGGGAGTGGAGCTCCTGCAGAGCTGGTGGTCCCAGGAGCAGGTGGCCGCGAGGATGGTTTGGGCTGCGGGTGGCTTGCGCGCCCAGCGGCCGGGGCTCCCCTCTGCGTGGCCGCAGCTCTTGCGCCTCCCTGGGGGGCCGCCCCAAAGGCGCCGCTGAGGCCAAGGACAGACTGTGCGCCTTCTTAAAACGGGATCATGACGGTCCCCAAGGAGATGCCTGAGAAGTGGGCCCGGGCCGGGGCGCCTCCGTCTTGGAGCCAGAAGAAGCCCTCTTGGGGGACAGGTAACGGGAGGCAGTGTCTGGCAGTTCTCACACCCGTGATTTCCCTTTTCTGACCTCCGTATTCCCTTGTCCTCAGCCTCTCCTCCTCCTTTGTTCTTTGCGGGGCCGTTTGGGATTCTCCTCCTTCCTTTGGGTGGTTCTTGGAGATTAGGGTCTCAGTAGGAAAGGGGACCCTCTGAGGGAAGTTTCTGGTTGTCTGTCAGATGGCTCATTTGTCTGGTGACTTTGTGTCCTGGGGTTTGTTACTGCATTGTGCTTGTTGTAGGAAGAGGTCTGGTATGTTACCTTGGATTTTCTGTCAGATATAAGGTGGCGGACTTACTGTATAATCAATTTACAACTCCTTTTTAAGTCTGAGGA